TTTTTGGTGCATGTGCCATCAAATCAGATCTGATTGGTACAGGAGGAAATTGTCCCTCCTTCTCCAGCAGAACATCTGGTGGATTCGAACCCTATACCTTTGGGATTGCAGTACAGCTTCTGGCCACTAGGCCACTAGAGCTCTGAAAATGCTTTCTAGTGAAGCAAAATCTGGAGGGCATTATGTTAGGCATAGAACAGGTTCAATGAAAAAGAGGGAGACATTGAACAAGATGGACTGACTCAGTGGCTCCAGCCATGGGCTCTCTCAAGTAATGTGAGGACAGTGCTGCATAGAGCAGTTGTACATACAGTTCCAGGGAGTAAGTACCAGCTCCCTGGCGACCTCCCATCAGTTTCTAAGGCTAAATCATAGCACCTAACAAAAGTAACATGAGCCGTTTAATTGAGGTAAATCTCTTCATATATACACATAGATAAGCTTCACTGCTTTTGCTTCATTAGAAAACTTACTTGGCTGAGAATCTATGCAGAGTATTATTCCCTCTCCCCATCTTTTTCCTAAATGCCAGCCACATGTTTCCTTCAAGTTGATTCTTGTTCCTCTGTAAACCCGGTTTGCTTTGTTATTCACATAAAATGTCTTATTCTTTCACTTACATAACATGACTATTTTGGATACATAGTACTGTCACTCAGGATCTGTTTTATTTACCCTTTCGGCACTTAATAGAATATTTATTGTTCACATTCTTTCCCTGACAAGGCTTGTAATGTGTTCAGTCTTAACCCCAGTGACTCAAATAGTGCCTGGTAGATATAAACAAAACCCACTGCCAAGAAAGTATACCCCAACTCAAAACGACCCTACAGGAAAGGGGAAATTTCCCTACACGGTTACCAGCATGGCAGCTTTGTATCAGCACCCTTTTTGGTTAGCAGCAGTCCAACTGACCACGCGACCAAAGCTCCTAAGTACATAATCCCAAAACCAACTCCGTGGAGTCCATCACGATTTTTAACGACCCTTCAATGTAATTCTTTACACAAGTCGTCCATCTTTCTCTCGCGAAATAAGTGGTGGATTCCAGAGAACTGCTGATCTTTAGGTTTGTAGCAACACTTAATGCGCTACACCACCACAGCTCCTTTGGATGTGTTGTGTCCTTGTCACGCTGAAAGCCAAACATTAAGTAGACCCTCCAGCGGGCAGCGCATCACACCGGAGGAGACGGCCCATCCTTCTCCCACGGAGCAGGTGGTGGATTCGAACTACAAGCCTTTGGGTTGCAGCGCAGTTTCATACTACTAGAGCACGAGAACTGCCCTTTGGGTATACAACAGAACTAAACTCCTCTACTGTCCCCAAGCTTTACAGGAGGAGACAGTCCTCCAGCAGAGCAATTGGTAACTGCTCATCATTCAGTCTGCAGGGTAACAGAACGCAGGACGTCATCTGGGATCCAGGCCACAATACAGGAGCGATACAACCGAGTTAAATGGAGGAGTGAAAGAAGACGAAGAAAAAACCGCAGAGGAACTGGAGCCGCACGGTTTCATCGCTGCGTCTGCCCCGCCCTCTTGGCGTCGAGGGCGGGACTTTCTGTATGGGCGCCAGAAGTGCTTCCGGTGTGGCCCGGATATGCCTGTGTGGGCAGGAATCACCGCTGTATGATCGAGGCTTCAGTTGTTGTGGGTTCGCTAGGCATGGGCAAGCGAGACCGCGCGGATCGCGGTAAGACGTGGCAAGTGCTCTGGGTTCCTCTGTCACCATCCGCGCGTCCGTCCCAGTGTTGTAGCTGCTGCGGCGTCTGGCCGTGGCTCAGTCTTGCTTCCGCGGCCTCTCACACCTTGGTTTCCAGGTTGCACCCCGCGGAAGAGGAGGTCAGGGATCGGGGCAGCAGGGGTCCCGGACTTGGTGGGGAGGGTCGGAGGGGGGGCGATAAGGCTTCGCGCAGCTTCCTTCGGAATGCTGCCGCCGTATGAAGGCAGCCGAGACTCTGGGGAGCCCACCTCTGAGTTGGTATTTTTTTGTAGATAAGAAAAAGTCTAAGAAACGGCACTATGATGAGGAGGACGCAGAGGACGATGAAGCCCCTGGGAACGAGGCTCAGGAGGCAGTGCCTTCAGCGGCTGGGAAGCAGGTGGATGAGTCGGGCACCAAAGTGGACGAATACGGCGCCAAAGACTACCGGGTTCAGATGCCGCTGAAGGGCGACCACGCGTCTCGGCCTCTCTGGGTGGTGAGCCAGCCTTGGGGCGGTCTCCGCAGCGGGAAGCGGTTAGAACCTAGACCTCCCAGCGCCAGGGAGAAGTGCGTGTCGGCGGGAGGGACCGCGATCATTCCCAGCTCAGCAGTCCAGTGAGCTGGCACGCCGGCCAGACCTGAGCCTCCTCCACCCCCTCCTTGGACCTCCCTTCACGACTTTTCTCAGGCTTGGCAGGAGAGATTCCCCCCACCCCCCAACTAAAGTTAGAATAGTTTATTTACCTATTTTTAAATATTAATGCAAACGATATTTGCCAGGTAGAATTGTGCAATTTGGAAAGTTCTACATTTAATTGAAATCTATCCAGAATGTCGTGTTGGGCTTTCCCTGTGAAGAATAGTGGCATATAGTTAGCTCCTGTACTCCTGAATCCGGCTGCGGTTAGCAGTGGGCTGAAGGAGTGCTTATAACGTGCTCATGGTGTTACCCATTATTCTCTTGGTAATGAGAGTTTATCTTTTCTTAATGATATGAGACAAATGGTTTCTGCAACTTTATTATTACTGCTTCATGTTTCTTAGGCTCCTGATGGTCACATTTTTTTAGAAGCCTTTTCTCCTGTTTACAAATATGCTCAAGACTTCCTGGTGGCTATTGCAGAGCCAGTGTGCCGGCCAACCCATGTGCATGAGTACAAGCTAACTGCCTACTCCCTGTATGCAGCTGTCAGTGTTGGGCTGCAAACCAGTGACATTACTGAGTACCTCAGGAAGCTTAGCAAGACCGGTGTGCCTGATGGAATCATTCAGTTTATTAAGGTGAGTGGGAGCTGAAAGCAGTGTTTTTACCCTTCCTCAGAGTGGACATGTTGTTAGCTGTGATTGCCATGAAAATAAGTTACTCTCATCCCACTTTGTGGAGAATGACCAACCAGATTAGTGGCTGCCGCTCTGGGTCCACCTTGCTAAAGCCACATTTCCTGGAAGCCACTCAAAGCCAGTGACAGAATTCAGAACTACTGTTAGCAGAGCTACAGGTACTAGTACAGAACTACTCATTCGAATAGATTTGCTTGACTATGCAGACTGATGTGGGTGGTACATTTTATTGAAGGCTAAATCTGTGCATGAAGCTAATCATCAACATTATCCATTAGGTCAAAGTAAAATGTTAAGGATAGAAGTGGAGAAGGTTCCATGTGAGCAGCAGTTTACTGTGATGTGGTTAGTTCTGAGAAAAGGATGATTCGCATTCAGAAGAGCAGGTGGATGGCTTTCATTGTCCTTGTTTTTGTGTTACAGGGAACCAACCCATGGCTGACTCTGCAGTGGGTTTTCAGAGGCAGTTAATCACACAAAAAGAGACTGACCATCCTTTATCTGTGGAGTAGCCAGTGTATTCGAAACACATGCCTTGAGGATTGCAGCACAGCTTTTTAACACTAGGCCACCAGAGCTTCCTTTCATTGTCCTTAGCTGATCTAAAAGAAGTTAGGTTCAGATATCCAGCTCTGGAGTGTTAGAACACGGGTTCCATAAGTACCATGATGCTTCCAGTCTTGAAGAAGCTGATGGGACCCTGGAGGGAGTTCTCCTATGATGTTCACGATGCCCTAGAGTAGATTCACTTAGAGGAGTCTGTACCTGGCTGGTTTAAGGCTGTGCTCAGCTTTGGCAGTATCCCCTTGTGCAAATCGAAAGTGTTGGCTCAATGCAGGGATTGATCCAGAAAGGCAGCAGTAGGCAAGATATGTAGCATATTTTCATGGTCACTACATTATTTTTACTTCATTCCAAACTGAAAATACTTGGGAACCTTGAGGCTCCATTAAGAGTTAGGTATTCTAGCTGGGAAAATAACAACATTGATGAGGAGACCAGGAGCCTCCTGCATTTTATTTATGCAGCATTTACTGTGTCTGCCCTGTGCTGGGGGCTATAGTAATACTCAGGTGGGTTGGAACTCTAGATTAGAGTAGGGCTGTGGGAAAGAGTAATTTTTATCTAGTGTTTTACAATCAATCAATCAAGTGGTGTATATTAGATAGTGACACAAAAGGAAGGTTTGTTCTCACACCCTAGAGTCTAATCGGAATTTCTTTTTACATAGATTTCACTTTTTTAGGATTCACACTGTGTCTTCAGAGATCAAAAGCACTTTTCACTTGGTATTAAAACATGACTAGTAAAGAGTATGTTCTGAAGCTTCCTGAAATCTGAGATGTTTTTGGCTAATTTCGCATGTTTGCTGTTGTCACTTTTTTTATAGTTGTGTACTGTCAGCTATGGAAAAGTCAAGCTAGTCCTGAAACACAACAGGTAAGAAGTTCCTTGCTAAGTCCATTCTAGTATACTTGTTGTTTATGCACATGAAGTAAGATTGAAGGCTCCGATAACCTGTAGGACTGTCTACTCTTTACCTGCACATGTATTGTCTTGAAGCTTAGCTCAGAGAAGCAAGAAAATTGAGGCAACCCAAGCTGGAATTAGCTGTTGGGCCCAGTTCTGCTTGGTAACCCTGTGACCTAGACTCCCACTTACTTGGCTTCGAAGTTGAGGTTCCCATACAACACTCATCTGTTAAGGTGCAATAGCACATATCTTAGATTGACAAAGGGTTGTGGACCATCAGGATGCTACAGAGAGCCACTATTTTCAGACTAACTGTATATGCAGTGGAACCTTCTAGAAATGATGTACTAGATAGTAGGTATCTTCTCTTCCACTGTTTGTAGGTACTTCGTTGAAAGCTCACACCCTGATGTCATCCAGCATCTTCTCCAGGATCCAGTAATCCGAGAATGCCGCTTGAGGAACTCTGAGGGGGAGGCTACTGAGCTCATCACAGAGACATTTATGAGCAAATCTGCTGTATGTAAACTCAGATAACCCTGGGAAGTGTCTCTTTAGACATTTCATTCCTCTTAAGTGTGTATAGTCCTGCATTTACCATCTAGTGGCTTTCTAAGGTTGCATTAAAATTCGAACACTGCTGTCTTACAGATATCTAAAACTTCTGAAGTGAGTGGTGGGCCGTCTACATCCCGAGTGACAGATCTGCAGAATAAATCTGACATTCCTGCTGACCTCTTTGACTTTTATGATCAAATGGATAAAGATGAAGAAGATGAAGAGGAGACACAGACAGTATCTTTTGAAGTTAAGCAGGTTAGTAACTATGTCCTTCTGGCTTGAGGAGTTGAGTTGCCTCTCCTTTATTGGTACCTGGCATCATCCCTTCTAATGAGTTAAGGTGTAGGTACTTCATTCCTTAGGCGGGTTAGGCCAGTCTTTACAAGTTGCTGGAGAGAACAGGAAAAACAGTGTCATTGTTATCAAGTAAGGTCTGAAACTGTACAAATCTGGAGACAATTCTTTGTTTTGGTTATTTGACCTTCTAGAACATTGCCATTTTTTAAGGGACTTAGATTTTAGCAGAGTTGTATAATGTCATCCTTACTCCTCAGGAGATGATTGAAGAACTCCAGAAGCGTTGTATCCACCTAGAGTACCCTCTCCTGGCAGAATATGACTTCCGGAATGATTCTGTTAACCCTGACATCAACATTGACCTGAAGCCCACAGCTGTTCTCAGGCCCTACCAAGAGAAGAGCTTGAGGAAGATGTTCGGAAATGGGCGTGCACGCTCTGGAGTCATCGTCCTTCCTTGTGGTGAGTGCTCCCTAAGGACACATGGTCTCCACTTGTCCCTAAGTCACTTTACCAGTGGACAGCCAAGCCCATTGATTCTGGCCCATTCCTTTGACAGGTTATTTGTCAAAGAAATGACAGATTGACATATCTGCATTGAGTATTGCTATGTGTAGGGCTCTGGTCAAGATACTAGGGAGGATATACTGGTGGTTGGAACAAAACTTCTGGCTTCAAGGAAACTTGTTCTGGTATGGGAGACAAATGGTAAACCAGCTCAGCTGTGCACAGTATCTTGGGTGGTAATAGTGAAAAAATCCGTGCTGTGATGGCAGGGAGAGATTATTTTACATGATCTGTTTAGGCTCCAAACCACTTATTCTTGGTGATTTATTACATTGGATGAGTTGGAGAAAGGGTTTGCAGCAATGAAGGAGTGAAAGCCCAGAATCCCTGTGAATGTTCATTGAAACTAATAAAATTTAATAATAATAAAAAAAAAAGAAAGGGCAAATCTGAGATCTTACACTTTTTGTTTAATGTTAGGGCTTTGGTCAGAGTTCACAGTAGTCCTACCTGGTAAGTGTCTCAGAGTAAATTTAAACTCAGTGCTTTTGAGTTGGTTCCTAAACATAGGGCCTCTCCATTGGGTTTTTGAGGCTGTCAATCTACACAGGAATCAACTGCTCAGCTTTCTCCTATGGTGCTGCTGATGATTTCAAACTGCTGGAGACTTGTGTTGCCATTGTAGAAAGAGGAAAGGGGGCAGGGTTTCCAGGGGAAGAATTTGAGGCTGCAAGTTGTTTTTCTATTTTGATTCTCCATCAGTTATTTTGGTAACAGAATAACCATTGTTGCAAAGGAATAGTTTAGTTTTTCCCTTTCCTTTCAGATGGCTAGAAAATTCAAACTGAAGTGTGAAGCTCCAGGAATGTCGTAGTCATCCTTGCTGCACTCCTTTGTTCTCAGCCTGATTTTCTGGGTAGTGATAACAACTGTTTTTGTTGGACACTTAAAGTTTTCATCGTGCCAGAGACTGTACCCTAGCAACATTTCTTTGCTATGACCTTAGACAAGGTCTGACTTGTCTTCAGTCTTTTGAATGATGGTAATAGTATCCCTAAAAATCATAGATTTTTCTTTTGAGTTTTCGATATTTAAAGCATGTCAAAAGCACAGAAAAGTCCTGAAAAGTTGCTTAGCTTTCTCATATAATGTCTGTGAAATGGGCATGTCCCCTTTTTATAAGGAAGGAAACAAGCTTAGAGCAGTATATATCTCACAATTCACTCTGATGATTGTTGCAAGTAATCTGCCTAAATTTATCTGCTGCTGAGTCCCTCCATCTGTCTGTGGCTTTAGGTAAGACCACTATTGGTTTCTTGTAGGTGCTGGGAAGTCTCTTGTTGGAGTGACAGCTGCATGCACTGTTCGAAAACGTTGTCTGGTGCTGGGCAACTCAGCTGTATCCGTGGAACAGTGGAAAGCCCAGTTCAAGATGTGGTCCACCATCGATGACAGCCAGATATGTCGCTTCACCTCAGATGCCAAGGACAAACCCATAGGCTGCTCTATTGCCATCAGCACTTACTCCATGTTGGGCCATACCACCAAAAGGTCCTGGGAGGCTGAGCGTGTCATGGAGTGGCTCAAAACTCAGGAGTGGGGCCTCATGATCCTTGATGAAGTACACACTATACCAGGTAAGTACATTAGGTACTGAGCCACCCACTGGATGACAGGAATTAAGTTCTGATTCTTGACTTGGAGATGGACTGCTGTATGGACCACTTCCTCCTTGATAGAAAGATTTGGTAACTAAGTAGTGCTTAAGTGTATGTAGAAGGAGGGTGTGATTTACAGGTTTAGAAATCTGCTAGAGAGTCAACTATGAGTGATTGCAACTCAATGGCAGTGAGTGAGTGAGGTCTTCCAATACCTATTGAATAAAAATGAAAGGTTTCTTGTTCACAAAATGAATGCCTTGAACCTCTCTACTGAAGACAGTAATGTTGGCTGATAGTTTTGTGACATACACTCTTTTAAAAAAAAATTGTAATTTTAGTGAATGTTTACAAAGAGATTGGTTTTTCATTCATTCATTCATTCATAAACATATTTTCCCCCTCTGCTTCCCTTACTTTGTAATACTTTTCAAGTTCTAGATTGTTCATTGTCATAAATAAATGTCAGATCATCTATTCCTTTTAGATTGTCCTTCCCTTCACCTCTTCTATTGCAATGATCATTATCTATCTGTGCCTTCATTTCCTGCTCTCCCCCACCTGTACGTATGTTTTTTAATAATCCTGAAGTATTTCCTCTATTCTTTTGCTGAGCATTTGTCAAATGACTTTTCTGAATCAATTGATAAGATCATGTGATTCTTTTCCTTTGTTTTATTGATATGATGGATTATTCTCATTGTTTTTCTCATTTTAAACCATCCTTGCATACCTAATAATATGAGTCCCACTTGATCATGTTGGGGGTGCTGTATGTGTACACACCCATAGAGAGTTGCACTGCCAACTTTTCTGGCAGTTCAAATCCAGCAGCCACACCACCAAAGAAAGATGGATAATCTCCTCTTGTGTGATTTGCAGCCTCTGCAAACTCACTGGAGGGTCAGCTGTGAGTCATTTGAGACTCAACAGTAATGGCAATTTTAGATTCTACTGGCTAGGATTTTGTTGAGGGCTTTTGCATTTCTGTTCATGAGAATTATTGGCCTATTATTTTCTTTGGAGTGCTGTCTTTACTTGGCTTTAGTATCAGGATTATGCTTGCTTCATAAAATGAATTTGAAAGTATTTCATCAGTTTCTTTTTTCTGAAATAGTTTGAGTAGGATTGGTGTCAGCTCTTCTGAATATTTATAGCATTTGCTGGTGAAGCTGTCTGGGCCAAGGCTTTTTTTGGTTGGGAATTTTTTTCATGACTTACTCAATTTCTTGTTTGCTGAAAGGTCTGCTCAGATCTTTTACTGCCATGTCTTAATTGATGTGGGCAGTAAAGTTTCATTACTATATTTTGTGGCTCTATTCTTTATATTGTATCTATTAACTAGAGTTGTGTCCTTTTGGTAAGTTGACTTTTTAATCTTTTATAATGTCCTTCCTTGTCTCTTATGCTAGTTTTTACCTTGAAGTCTCTTTTACCAAGGATCATTATTTACGCTTCTGTTCTTTTTTTATTGTCATTTGCTTGATATTTCCTCTCCATCTTTTGATTTTTAGTCAGTCTTTGTCTATCTTAAGGTTTCTCTCCTGTAAACTGAATATTGATGGATTATTTAAAAAAGAGTAGGATGGCATGGAGATGACTAAGTCTCACCTCCTAGCTACACCAAGAGTTCCAGTCTCCATCAGCAACATCCACAATACATAGCCAATTCCCCTAAGGTCAAACATGATCCCCATGCTCCCACATCTACTTCTGCTAATTACAACATCAGTCATACTGCTCTGCTACTGGGTCCAAAATTTGTTTTAAGGCCACATAGAATCATATTCACAGTTAGGGGCTTTACTAGGAAAGTTAACAGATTACTATTCAGATTGACAACAGAGTACAGTTTTGTCAATGAGGACATGCGTACAGGCCATTTGATCTTCAGTCTTGTGGGTTAGGTCGGTTTTGCAAAGCTCTCATATAATCCTGAAAATCTTTCCTCAGTCTTCCAGCAGGTTTGTAGAAAGGCCCCTTGCTCTGGCAGTCCCAAGTCAGCTCTGTCTCATTTCCGTTGTTTTTTCTCTGCTGAGGCTACTACTATTGTGTAGGTCCTGCCCTGACTGGCAGTAATCTTTGAAGGATGTTCACTACATTTTCTGCTGCTTCTTCCTTGGTAGTAATGAGATTGCCAGTCTTCTGCTCCTCAGCTTGTTAAATCTAACAGGATGGGAAAACTGGTCAAATCCCATCACAGGTTTTTTTATACTTACTTTTATGCCTATACAACCATAGGAGCACTGGTGGCCTAATGGCAAGAAGTTGTGCTGCAATCCCAAAGGCACACGGTTCAAATCTACCAGCTGCTCTGTGGGAGAAGGATGGGCAGTCACCTCCTGTGTGAATAACTGCCTCAGAAAACCCACTGGAGTGTCAGCTGTGGGTCGGTTCCGACTAGATGGTACACAGCAACAATAACCATATGGCAGAAGTTAAAGTCATTGGCTAAGAAAGCACCACATGACCCTACAGTCATATTTTCTTACCCATTCTACCAATCTTTTTCTCTTGATTGGTGCCTTTATTTAATTCACATTAAGTGTAGGTTTAAATAGGCATGATTTTGCTGCTCTTATTTTTTTTTCTCCTCTTTTGTTGATGATTTCTTTGATTGTTGTTGTTATGTGCGGTTGAGTCGCTTGTAACTCATGGCAACCCTATGTACAACAGACCTAAACCCTGCTCTATCTTGTGCCATTCGCACTGCCTCCGACACACCCATCCCGATTACCCTAGACACTGAGTCAATCCACCTCATAGAGGGTCTTCCCCTCCTGCACTGTCCTTCCACCCTCCCAAGCATGATGTCCCTTTCCAAGGACCAGTCCCGTCCAAAGTATGTCAGACGAAGCTTCAGAATCCTTGCCTCCAAGGAGCAGTGACTGTCAGAAGAGACCAAAGTAAAGTGGGAAAATGCTGAAGAGAAAAATGAGCAGAAGATTTCAGAGGGCAACTTGAGAAAACAAAGCAAAATATGTAACAGAATGTGATTTGGGAAAACTCGCTAAACCTTTTTCAAGTTGAAACAAATTCAAGCCTTGAGTTGCAATGCATAAAGATTATCTTGGTAAAATCAGGAATGATTCAAAAAGCATCACTGAACCATTTCAGATAGCAGCATATGATCAAGCGCCAATGGTAATGAAGGAAGAAGTTAAAGCTGCACTGAAGGCATTGGGGGGGAAAGGCCCCAGCAATTGATGTAAGACCAGTTGACATGTTACAGAAAACAGATGCATCCTTGGACATGCTCACTAATCTATGCCAAAAAAATGGAAAACAGCTTTCTGGCCAGCTGCCTTGAAGAGGTCCATGTTTGTCACCATTCCCAAAAATGGTTATCCAACAACATGTGGAAATTGGAGAATATTATCATTAGTATCACATGCAACTAAAATCTTGCTGAAGATTATTAAAAACAACTTCAACAGTACATTGGCAGGAAACTACCAGAAATTCAAGCTGGATTCAGAAGAAATTGTGGTGAAAGAGATGTCATTGCTGATGTCTGGTAGATTTTAGGTGGAAAGCAGAGAATATCTGAATGGTGTTTACTTGTATTTTATTGACTATGCAAATGGCATTTTACTGTGTGGATTGTAACATATTAAGGATAACACTGAGAAGAATGAGAATCCTAGAACACTTTATCATGCTCATGTAAAACCAGTCTAGACTGAGAAGCCCTGCATGGTTTAAAATCAGGAAGGTGTGTGTCAGGGCTGTATCTTTTCTTCATATCTACTCAATCTCTATGCTGACCAAGTCACTCAAGAAGAACTATATGAAGAACGATATGGTGTCAGGATTGGAGGAAGAATTATCAACAACCTGCCTTGTTTGGAAGACGCAACTTTCTTTGCAGTAAATGAAGAGGATTTGAAACACTTGGAGAAAATCAAAGACTACAATATGGACTACATTGAAGGAAGGACTTCAGTATGACTACATCTCAAGAAGAACACAAAATTCCTCATCACTAGACCTATAGGAAAATCTCATAAAGGAGAAAAGATTGAAGTTGTCAACAATTTACTTGGATCCAGAATCAAAACCCATTGTATGTAACAGCAGTTAGAAAATTAGAAGATGTGCTGCGTCTGCTGTCAAAGACCTCCCGAGTGGTGAAGAGCGTCAGTTAAAGACTAAAGTATGCCTAATCCAAGCCATATAGTTTTAGTTACTTCCTGTGCATCCAAAAGTTGGACCATGACAAAGGATGACAGAAGAATACAATGTCTTTTGAGTTGTGGTCTTGGAGAAGAGTATTGAATATTCCATGGACTGCCAAAATAACAAAAATGCCTTGGAGGAAGTAAAACCAGGGTGTTCCTTAAAGATGGTGAAACTTCATCTCACATACTTCTGGCACATTGTCAGGAGAGACCCATTCTTGGAAAAGGACATCATGCTAGGAGAGGTGGAGGGGCAGAAAAAGCATGAGCCAACAAGATGGATTGATGCAATGACTATAACAATGATTCATGCATATCAGAGATGGTGATGATGGACCAAGCAAGGGTCATATCTGTTGTTTATAGGACTTGTATGATTTGTAGTCGACTCAGGATTCTGGGGCTTCGTCTGACATACTTTGGACATGTTGTAAGGAGAGACAGGTCTTTAGAGAGGGACATCAAGCTGGGTAGAGTAGAGGGACAGCGCAGGAGGGGAAGACCCTCTATGAGGTGGATTGATTCAGTGACTGGGGTAATCGGGATGGGTGTGTCAGGGGCAATGAGATGGGCATAGGATAGAGCAGGGTTTAGGGCTGTTGTACATAGGGTCACTATGAGTCGCAAACGACTCGACGGCACATAACAACAACAAGTCGACTCAGTGTCATCTAATGACAACAGCAGTTAGTATTGAGAGCTTTACCTTCTATCTCACTGATTCTATGTTCCATTCCTTTAGCTCATTTAAACTTCCAAAGTCTTAATCACTTTCCCAAATTTTAATATTCTAATTTC